CTAGAGCAGTTCACAGCTGAATGTGAAGCAGCAGGAATGAGAATCAGCACTTTGAAATGAGAGGCCACGGATTTCAGCTGGAAAAGTGAGCAGTGCCCACTCTAAGTCAGGGACGAATTACTGCACCAGGTGGAGGAAGTTAAGTATCTCGGGGTCTTGTTCACGAGTGAGGGGAGCGAGGGATTAACAAATGGCTCTGACGTGGATGTGGACGCTGCGCCGGACTGTTGTGGTGAAGAGAAAGCTGAGTGTAAAAGCGAAGCTGATGATTTACTGGTCGATCTACATCCCCTACCCTCACCTAAGGTCACGAGCTCTGGGTAATGACGGAAAGAATGAGATTGTGGGTACAAGCTGGAGACATGAGCTTTCCCCAAAGGGTGACTGGTCTCTCTCCCTTAGTGATAATGTGAGGAGCTCAGTCATTTGAGACGGGCACAGAGTAGAGCTGCCACTCCTCCACATCGAAAGGAGCCAGTTGAGGAGGTTCGGGCATCTGACTAGGATGCCTCCAGGGGCCACCTGGGTGAGGTTTCCTGGCATTTCTTTCTGGACCCCGGCCCTTGGGCAGACCCAAGACATGTTGGAAAGGTTACATCTCTCAGCTGGACCAGAATTGTGTTGCACTTCCCCAGATAAGGAGGAGATGCCTAAGGAGATGGAGATCTGGGCTTTTCTGCTCAGGGTACTGTCCCTACGACCAGGCCCCAGATAAGCAGAAGAAAACTGATGGATGGATGGAGGGATGGATACTCACGTTAATGAATAAAATAGGAACATTGGCAGAGTAAAGAGTGATCATTTTATTTAAGGTTCTACAAACCTTGCCTGAAGTACTGATCCCTCGTATGCAGCAGATACAAACAACTGTCCAGGCAGCTAACAGACATATTATAATGGGCCACTGGAGTCCTCCAGAGTCTGCTATTGAGTTAGAAGCATTCAGAGTGACTCTGTAAAAGTAGTAGTCCACCGTGGAGCTCTGCTGGCATTCTGGTATAAATCCTAAAGTGGGAAAAAAAACAAACACTCTTAAACATAGCAAAACAGATGCTATGATTTGTGTGTGGGGGATGAAAATCAGTGTATAAATACCTGTCCTGTTTTCATTGAGAGGACAATTAGTCCAAGGCAATGGATCTTGAAAGGAATTGAAGAAATACCACATGATCCACGCAATTAAGGTGTTGTAGTACAGGGCAACCATAAAGGACACTAACATGGAGCCAATACCTGAGGGACAGCATTAATCATCTATCATCACAATCACTAAAAACCACACACTGGGTATTTTTGGTTTTTTTGCAGGGACCATTTTACTTACCAACACCTGTCAGATATGGGCTGATGGCCCGCCACACTCCCACACTGCCTTTTCTAAGGCGCTGCCCAATAGCAAACTCTAGCAGTAAGAGAGGCATTCCTTCTAGCACCAGCAGAATTAGGTAAGGAATCAAAAATGCACCTGCAAATATATTTAAGTAGGTTAGAGATTGTTGGTATATCATTAACAGGTGAAAGTAACACACAACTGTTTTCAAGCACAGAATTCTGGGGAACAACTAATGCCATGACAGACATACACGACTGTGGGTGTAAGTCATGCACATGAATGTTTTATTCCCAAATCAGTGCTTTATTAACTGAATTAGCCTGTGCTATATGAATAAATCTAAACTGCCTCTAACCATTCACGCGAACAAACAACGGCCAGGTTCTCTTAGAAAATTTAAATACCACCACTAATACTGTTACTACTACTAATCGTCTTATTAAAATTACTTATCATTGCTGGATGTCATCATTTAATGTCTAATTTCTTTGCTTTTTTTTCTTAACCACAGTGGTTTTCTCATTTCGGTCTAACCGACCATGAGATGTTTTCTTGTTTTTCTTGTA